ATAACAATATAACAACTATAACAAAGAAAACCTTACCTACAATCTCATTGCTCAGCAAAGCTCTGACTCCTACATGTCATTATTCTTTCCTCTGTTCTGACGGTCTTTTTCAGAGCAGATTCTTCCTTTCTTACTTCTATTGTGTCTAAAGATGACGCCTCTGAACCACTTCTGTTTTTTTCCATTCCTGGCCTACGCTCTCTCTTCAGACACTTTACCCATATCTCAGCATCTACTGAAGCCCCTCTGTATTTCTGGGAAGTTGGTTGCAATAGCCCATTTCAGTATGAGTGGGACTCCTTGCCTGTAGGAACTACCACAGCAGTAGCATCCCTGATATGTAGCCGCCTGGAGGAGGGAACTTCATCGTTAGAGAGCAGAAAGCACGCGTATTCATTATCAATTGCTGCATAACAAATTACCCTCAAACCTTAGTGGCTGAAAACAACAAACATTTTTATCTCAAGGTTCAAGAGTGGCTTAGCCGGGTGTTTGTGCTCAGGGTCTTTCATGAAGTTGCACTGCAGATGTTGAGCAGGGTTGCATCATCTGAAGGCTTGGCTAAAGCAGAAGGATCTGATCCTGAGCTCACTCATGTGGATGTCAGTGGGAGACTTGTTTCTAGCCACATGGGCCTCTCTGTAGGGCTGCTCACAATACGGCAGCTAGCTTCTCCCAGAGTGAATGATGAGAGAGAGAGAGAGTAAGAGAGAGAATGAGAGCCAACAACCAAGATGGAAGCCCTAATGTCTCTTATAAACTAATCTCGGAAGTGATGTACTATCACTTTTCAGCATTCTAGCAACCCTGGTATGATGTGGAAGGGTACTACACAAGAGTGTGAATACCAGGGGGCAGGGATCACTGGGGCCATCTTAGAGACTGACTAGCATGCTTGGGCAGGGGCTAGGGGTGGGAGAAGCAGCCAAACTTCTGTGTTTGCATCTTAATTTATGTGAATGGTGCCCCCTGACATTTTGCAGTGTGCAACATATACAATCGTAGCTCAGGTGGCAGTCCCTGACCAAGTGGGGAAGTCAGGGGGATTTGTCCCCAGCACTCTTCCACTCCCTGTTAGGAATTCATCCATTTATTCATTTATGCAACAAACATTTGTCCAACACCTGGTGCATGCCTCTGTGTTGGTATTATGCTAAGTAACGAGGTCCTAGGGTCTAAGCTTTAATGGAGCTTCACTTTTGCCACATCAGTGTTGTCCTTCTTAAGTATCCAAGACATTCAGAGTGACCACGGGGTGCCTATAGCCCCTTTCAAACCAGGCTGTAAGCAAAAGATGATTCTCTTCCATCCCATTCTCTCAGGGTCCTAATCTTTGGTAAACTTAAGCTAATATGATATTTCTTCCAGGGGGTACAATCCAAATATTTAACAACCCCTGATTACTGGGTGCCTAATAAGAATGGAAGCTGCCTAAACAAGCAACAGCTCTGCCAGTATGATGCGTTTTGCTGAAATCCAGCAGTTACTCCCAGACAGGTCTTTTCTATCACCCTTCTAGTCAAACTGGAAAACTAATTGTGACTCTATCTACTCATGAAGTTGGCAGTAACGAAAGTTATAAGAAGGGCCCTCCAAAAAACATTCCCATTTGCCAATTCCAGTGGAAAAAAGGTAGGCTCTAAATTAAAGCCCAGAAATAAGAAGTGTAGGAGAGAGTGAGTTCATGATGACAGATTGATGGACCAGGGCAGGAAATACAAGGAAGGGGAGCTATTTGTTTTGGAGACCAAGTTTGAGTCTCAGGGGAAAGGAACTGAGAAAATCAAGTAAAATCTATGTTTGTAACACTGGACTCATGTTAAAGTGTCCTGAAGTTCACAGACTCCAGAGTCTAACTGCTGATTTCAAATCCCAGCTCTGTTATTCCCTAGCTGTATGACTGCGGCCTAGTGACTGAATTTCTCTGCACCTCAGTGATCTCATCTGTACAGTAGGGTTGACTGAATAAAACCAACCTTATAGGGTATTTGTGAGCTAATTTATGTAAAGTGCTGGAACTTAGTCTGGTACAAATTAAGAACACAGTAAGTGCTAATTATTGTTATTGAAGAAATCAGAACAATGTCTAACATGCCATCAACTGAAAGAGGTCAATTTCATTCACTTAACCAGTATTTATTCAATATATATAACAATGAACCCCAGCCAACAAAATCCTTGTTCTCAAGGTGCTTATATGTGGAAGAGGTGGGAGGGAGGAGGAAGGGAGAAGGGGAAGACTAAAATAAACAAATAAGTAAAAAAAACACTATGTCAGATTTATTATGATGATCATGAAGAAAAATAAAGCAGAAGAGGGGGATAGGAAGTGCTGGGCGAGGGGTAGGAGGGAAGAATGTTCTAGAGATAGGAAATTATAAATCTTGAGGCCAAGGAATATTTGATGTGTTCCATAATAGCAAGGAGGCTAGTGTGGCTGGAGGGAGATGAGGATGGGGTGAAGTTGTACAATGTGAGGCAGAGAGGTCTTGGTTGGGGGTGGCAGGCAGATCATATAGGGCCATGCAGCCATTGTAAGAACTCTGGCTGTTGCTCTAGGATGGGAAGCCACTGGAGGTTTTGAGAAGAGAAGAGACCTATGTTTTAAAGGATCACTCAGATTGTCATGTGTGGGGATGGGGGGTGTGGTGGTAGGGGGAGTGGATAGGGAAAGTAGAAAGACCAGGTAGCAGGCTATTATTGAAAGATGATGGTGGCTTGGACCAGGAGATTAGCTATGGGAAGGGAGGTGGGAAGAAGCAGATACTTTCAGGATATATTTTTGAAGGCAGAGTCAACAGGATTTGCTGATGAATTGGATGTAGCTTGTAAAACAAAGAGCAGGGTCAAAGATAGGGAAGCTCTGTGAGGACAGGGATTTTTCTCTTTAATGTCATATCCCAACCACCTAGACAGCACCTGGTACTCAATAAATATTCCCTGAATCAATGAAAAGGGTAACTCTGATTTGTATTATACCCTTCTTAAACTTAGTAAGAAGTATACAGCAGTTAAAACAACTACAGGTAAATGAAGTACTGTAGCAACCACAGTTTCAGCATTTAAGCAGGGAAACCTCCTCCAATCCTTCCATAAAGTTGGAAGCTGACATTGCTGCATCCCTGGCCCCCAGCTACCAATGACCAGGACTAAAAAACAACTTTGATACTTTCTGTAATAGAAGAGAATTTTGTTATAAAATACTAATTGTAAACAAACAAAAACCAACTGGATATATACCTAAGAGTATACATAAGAGTAGTTTATTTGGAGAAAAGCATAGAGACTTAGGAAATGAGGATTCTGTCACCCACCCTCACCAAACAGTTGCAAAACACACTGAAACATAATCAGTAAAATGAAAATATTAATATATAAAGGTTTCATGAGATAAATTATGCACACATTTAAGGCAGTCTATGAAATGCTCTAGTTTGGTCATATTCTAAAAATTAAAAAGCAAACATATAAGATGCATTTTATGTCATCTTTTCCTACTAATATATTGCACTACATGAGAGATACAGGTGACTATCTAATTGATGATAATCCTAGGATATGGTAATTTCTATTCCTCCAATATATATTTTAGAGTTTAAAGGTAACACGGCCTGTTGATATCCTTGAGTGATACACAGAAGTGATACACAAGAAAACATCCACTTTTTGCTCAATGGTGATTAATGGAGGCTAGAAACCAACACCTGCTTTTGGCAATTTTCAGGGATGTTATAAAGTAATAGCCAATTTTTGTAGACGGCATTTGGTAAAAGGATCTTCACGTCTAGACATATGAATGGATCTTGACTTGCTCCTGTCCTCTGGGGTCTTATTGCACTGATATCTTTAGCTGCCTGAGTTGCTCTGGGCTCTGTGGGGCTGTCTTCAGTCCCGTCTGGGCAGGACACCTTCTCCACATACAGTAACAGCTCCTGAGTTTTCATATAGTAGAGGTTTAGGAGCAGCAGTAGCAGTCACTTGGTAAGAGGGGCTGGGTTGGAGACGGAGGAGGGGAAATTATGTGGAAGCTGAGTTTGTATAGCAGGCATAATGTTTTGTTTTTTAATGGTTATTTGGGGTGAAGATTATAGGGGAACCTAATGTTCCCTCGGGTCACCCACAGCACTGCTGTTTCCATACCCTTCAACCGGGCAGTAAGGCAAATTCTCACTCGCTCTGATAGTGCTGCTACCCCCTCTCCCCACCTCTCTCCCCAGTATCCCAGGGATAAAGGGCCTGGAGTTCCAGCTCCGGGCTACTAGTGTACATTATGGGTCAGGACGAGCCAAAAGGCAGCAAGACATTCGTGTTGCCGTGTCAGGTGAAGAGTCTGGCTTAGCCTGGAGAGCTTTCCAGGCCAATGCGAAGTTTTCCCATCTTGGGTGCATGTGGGCACCACGCGTCGAGTTTTGGTTAGTATGTCAACAGGGTCAGACCCTGTCCCTGTAGCTGCTTCGGGAAAGCTGTGAGGCAAGCGTGAGGCCAAGGGCCGCAGTAGACGGGAGTAATACGCCGTCCCCTGCTTGGTCTTAGGGCAACACCCACCCCCAGCCAGCATTTCCCTTTAATGCGCGTGCCCGTCAAGGTCCCCGCGTCCCCTCCCCTCAAGCTGCCCCGTCAGTCTCTGTTTCCCTCACCTCTCCCGGTCCCTGCCGTTCTTTCTCCGTGGGATGCTCCGCGCCCCCCCGCGCCCGCTCTCGGGACTCGGCTGTCACTTTACTTTTCCGCGCCTCCTCTCCGCCCCCTCGCCCGGCCGGCGGGCAGCCCGCCCGAGCGCGCGCCCGCC